ATTTTGTCATTTTCAGAGATGCCATTACCTTGAAACTGTACGTATACTTGTATATTTGTATAACATAACCAGAAATAGATTGTAATATAAATAGCTTTGTGTTATGGTGTAGAACCATAGAAAGATAACACGGACTCAGATATAAGGTTAAATAGTATATTCTCGGAAATGTAGTACAAAGGTAAATGTGGACTGGAGAGTACTTTCTCTCACTGGTGTCCTGACTCAGTGACTCTCCCTCTGTCTTCCCTTACTCAGAGTTGGTAGCCATATTATATAAGTGTGGAAGAGTCTATTTGTAGGTAGGTCCCCACAACACTTTGAAAATAGGAATAGAAACTTATAGCTCTGAATTGTATTATGATTTTCTATAAAAGCAGGCACCTTGGCCATTGGACAGTTAGCAAGATAAGAAAATTATGCAAGACAGCAACTATGAAAAAATAAATGAAGATGAAAAATAACTGAAATTATTTGGCTGCATCTCTTTTTCCTTAAAAAAAAAACAAAAAACAAATCAAGTACTTTTTGAGTGTTTCAGACTATTTGTAGAGGCTGAATCTGGTTAACCCCTTCATTACCTCTAGAAATGTTATCCCATCCAGGTGTAATTTACCGCTATTTAATGACCACTAGTTAGCAGAAAAATTTAATCAATTTGTTAATTAATTTTTTTAATTACATTTATTTTTTTAATTTTTGGCATTAACTTTCTTGAAGAGTCTATTGATTGATTTCTTTTTTTTTTCCATTTGTTTTTTTGCCATCTTTATAATTCCAGCCTCCCAGAGTGTTTTGTCTTTTTGAGTAATTGCTTTATAGGTACCTTTTGCAGTCTTCCAGGGAAATGATTTTTATGTATTAGCTGAATTACCTGTGCTTTGCTGTGTGTCACACATATTTTTTGTAAGAAAATGATGATTGATTTTAAATCATTGTTATAATTTGTGGAGGAAAATGATGCATTTCAATATTACTCAATGATCATGCCATTGTGACCTCCATCTTCTGGCTTTCTCCTTCCATATTTTGGAGAGGAGCCATTCTCTTGTTCAAGTTTAAATTTAATTTAAATCACTAGGGACACTCTTTGATCAAAATGAAATATACTTATCGAAGTACCCTGGATAATGTAGTTTTAGAATATATGTGGTTATGGGGGTCCATCTCCAAAACCCTAGGAGGAGTTTGATAACAAACAGAGGCTACAACTTTATATAATATATAAACAAATACCTATTATCACAATTTATACCAAACGGATAAAAAAAAACAAAAATAAAACCATACCAAGTAACACTGCTACCTAAACCAACATTGACCCTATGAATACGCAAAGATAAACCACTGACACCATAACACCATTTTAGAATGTCTACCACAACTTTAGTTACCAACATTGTCACCACCATTGTATGCACCCACCGTGAAATATCTATTATTATTATAACCTTATACACCTCTTCAACAAGATTCATATTGATTTTTACCACCACTTTTGCTCTCATTATTGCCATTATTTATTACCACCTCCACCACCATCTATTACCATAACTTAGTTACCACCATTTCTATTATTTTCTATTTTATTCATTACCTCTTCCATCATTATCTATTTATTTTATTTACTATTTACTACTGCAATTTTTAATTTAATTGTAAATTTATCATTACATCATTTTTTTATATTTAGTTATTACTATCAATTATTTATTAATTCAAACTACCATCATAATTATTATTATTCAAACTACCATCATAATTATTATTATTCAAACTACCATCATAATTATTATTATTCAAACTACCATCATAATTATTATTATCATTCCACTACCATTACTATAATCACTACTACTATTTTTACCATAATTATTTGCTGCTATCACTGTTATTACCATCATCCACTACTCCCACCATTACTATCACACCAATATCCCCCCCACCAACTGTCACCACATTAATTACAGTTCACCATTGTCATTGCACCCAATATGGTAATTATTATTTCAGTCTTACTATTCATTTATTTAATATTGTAATTATCATATCTTTCTTAATATTTATCCTCATTTCTCTCAACATTTCAATTATGATTTCATTACCACTATTTCACCACCACCATAATTCCCATTGCCGCATTAATCTACAATTATACTCTCAGACGTGCTTTTACCAATTGAGCCACAGAGGAGCATTTTGGTTAGAAATGTCGATTTCACTGTTTTTAAACCACAATTCTCCATGATTTTCTCTCGTATATGCCTATCTAACTGTAAACAAATGACGACAATCGGTAAAAGCATGTCGGAGGACGCATATTTTCTATGAAAATTTCTCAGACATTCAGGCCGGTAAATGTTGTCAATACTGTTTATTATAAACAGAGCATTTACTTAAATATTTGTATCTATAAAAAGAACGTATAGACATAAAAAATGTCTTATAATTTATACCAAATTTTATGATGAGCATTTAATGGGTTTATTAATTATGGATTTCTAAAAAAAATTTAAAAACTTTATTTATTTATTTTTTTTTATTTATTTTTTTTTATTTATTTATTTTTTTTACATTTCTACTTTCTTTTACATACCAGTTTCATTTTTATGACTATTGAACTCATTCTTTTCTTGTTTATTTTGACATACCTTTCAAGTTTCTTAAACTATTTTTTTTTTTTTTTTTTTTAATTTAATAGATACAGGCTTTTTGACTGCTTATCCTTCCAACTCGGAGTATGTCCCCAAATTAACATATGCTCAGCTGGAGAAATATTGTTGCTTTGTGTTCCACCTCATCCGATGCTATCTGTCTGTGTCCCAGTTGCCGTACGTGGCTTGGTTGTCCAAGTACAAGCAGCGACGACCCAATGACCAGATACTGGACGAGAGTCAAGCACTGTGCAGCCAGATAGGCAGTGATATGCTGACCGAATCTTCACAGGCCACCCTTGTTCTGGAGACTGGGGAGTGGTCAGAGATCTGCCTTGAGGACATTGCTGCCATCTATAACACACATCTGCTCGAGATTAAGCTGAGAGGAAAGCTTACCGAGCTGCCTGATCACCTAAAGCGCTTGTTTAATCTTTTCGATTCGTTGGACTGACAAAAAGCGGTAAACTTTTACTCTTCTCATCTGTCGACTTCTTCACGTTCTGTTCTCTAAAATCAATCACTCAAACATTTGTTTACTTGTTCACATTTTTTAAAAGATTTTCTTTTTTTTTTTTTATTGTTCTGTTAATCCTTTATCTCTGCTCGCTCTGAAATTTTAAAAATGGTTTGGAGTATGAAAAGATATATATATATATATATAAAGAAAAAAGTAACAAAAGTAAAAAAAAAAAAAAAAAAAAAACAAAAAAAAAATGCCCCCCAAAAATGTGCTTGACTATTGTTTACCAGGCCCACAGTCTAGGAGGTAGATAACAACTTGCATAAAACATTTGAGTAAATGTAATAAGGAAGCCTAATTAACAAAAGATAGTGATACAATTTCAACACGATATTTTGATAAGTACACTTCAGGCCTCATTGAATAATCTGATCACCATAACTGAACTATTGTTACTACTTTATCTACTGTTAATTGGAATTAGGTTGCATATAATTACTTATTGAAGGCAGATCTGGCACAAGAATAGGTGAGAATATCCTGTATAAATAATTTTTTTGTTATTCTGTATATTCATTCTTTGTCATTAGGTTGAATATAATTGCTTATTGAAGGCGGATCTCATACACGACTAGGTGAGAATATCTCATTTAAGTTGTTATTAGGTTTTCTTCGAATTCAATTTTTGCCACCATTTTGCCGCCATTCAGCCCAATTTTTGTGTTTATCAATTTAGTTGTTTGTTTTATTCAAGTTGCTGTCTTCCTAAAGGATTGTGAGCTTGATTTAAATTTTAACCAAGCCAAAATTTGTTTGAGTAAAGTGAATCTGGTTACCCAAGAGAAAAAAAAAAGTTTGGGATATGAAAGAGAAATGATTTAATGGGACAAGGAGGAGGTGGTAGTGGGAGCTATAATGAATCAATTTTTGCTCTGTTCGAGATATATATATATATATATATATATATATATATATATATATATATATATATATATATAAAATAATATTTTTTTTTTTTTTTTGTTACTGACTACCCCTTCCCCCTTGCACCCCGGTTAAGGCTTAAATTTTAATAAAACAAAACAGAAAAAAAGCAATATGGCTGACATACTGAGATAAAAACTTTTACTTGATTCCAGAAATTGTGGTTAATACCATTATTTCCCCCTCTGCCCCCAATATTTTTTGTTTTAAAATACATCTTTGTTCATTCTTTTTGTTTTACAATACATCTTCAGTCATTTTTTTTTTTTTTTTACAATGCATTTTGGTCATTGTCCCCACCCACATGTCTTTTTTTTTTCCCTACATTGCCAAGTATGTTTTCATTTCTTAAGTAAGAACCAAATGGTTTATAGAGCACATTTAACAAAAAAATATATATATATATATATATATATATATATATATATATATATATATATATATATATATATAAATAAACCAAAGGAAGAATTTGTGGACCAGACTGAATAAAAAAAAAAAAAAAAATAATATGTCCTGTTTATATATTTCTATGTCAGGATGGTAGACACGATTTCCTTACATGCTAGCCCTTTTAAAAAAAAAAGAAATTTTTTATACATCAATTGCATATGCAAATCTCTAATATAAGTAAATTAAAAATTAGAGATTAAAAAAAACAATTCAAAAATGATTTTATTAAGTTTATAATCTCTTCATATAAAAGCATCATTAAAATAGATTAATGCATTTTTGCTGTGGGTCTGTCAAATGCTAAGCATTTTAGCTGTGATTCTGTTGAATGCTAAACTTATATAAAAAAAATCTACAAAAAGATTTTGTAGATTTTTTTATATATTTTTTATACTTGTATACAATTTTACAACATAACTTATGCTTACAGCCACCTCACCTTGAAACACATATGATCACTGAAGTTAAGCAATGTTGAGCCTAGTCAGTACCTAGATGGGTAACCGCTTAAGAATACCAGGTGCTGTAAGCTTGAAAGTATGGGTGGTTTAATAGACAATGGCTTAGAATTGTTAGGTCAGCTGCATAGTCAATATCTGTCAACTTTTTTGCACGATAACGACTTGAGTTTTGGTGATCAAGTAAAAGGGAGGTGATGATGTTCGTTGAGGGAAGTTAGTTAAACCTTTTAGCTAGGTTCACTGACCATTAAATATTTTAGCTGTCTCTGTTGAGCATGAAGTATTTTAGCCAGCTCTGTTTAAATTAATTAATTTAGATCTCGAATGAGAAATAATTTATCCAGCTCCATCGACCATTAAGTGTTTTCACTAGGTTTGTTTTAATTATTTTTGATGTGTTTGATACAACAATTAAATTTTAGCAGGGACTGTCAAATATGACGTATTGGCTCCATTGGATGTGAAGGATTTCAGTTGCATCTTCAAATGTTAAGGTTAGCATTGATAATGTGACATTCCTTTAGTCAGTATCAAGTGATATTTATTTTTTAATGTTTTAAGGATAGACGACTATACCTGCTCACCAGACATTCACTGTGCTCCTTTACTTAGCTTTCCAAGAAATTTCCAAGGGGATAGCAATTATTGATGACTGACTTAAAATCCTTAACATATATAGGTACATCACTTACTTTCTCCTTGTCAGTGCACTTAATTCAATGGTGAATATTACTTACACATATTGAACATTTTACAGTGAAAATTTTGGATATAAATTCAGCTAATATTTATGTCAGGCTACAGACTTATTGATCTACCTTTGTTTGTAATTATATAAAATAGAGCCTGTGCTGTGGTGACATTTTTCTAATTTTCTATTTTTTCAATTTTGTGTGTGCGTGTGTTTTATATCAATATGTCTGTAACCTGGAATGTAGCTATTAGCTGAATTTTGATCTAAAATTATCAGTGTATAATGTTTGTCAGGATTAATATCCACTATTGAATTAAATGCATTGACAAAGAGGTTACATTGAAAAATAAATATTTGTTGTGTAAAATAAATGTCCTTTGCATTATTTGATTTTGTAATTATTGATTTTTGTGTGTGTGTGTGTGTGTGTGTACACACACACACACACACACACACACATGTGAAACAATTACAAAATTATATATATAGTAGGCAATTGTCAAAGTTTGAAAATTCTATTGCAGGTTTCGTCCTCTAGAAGGACTTCATTGGACTAAAGAAATATTTTTATTGATGGAATTATATATGTGTAGGAGGGGGAGATATAAATAGTTATAAGTATGAATAAAAGCTCAAGATGTGGGAATGATGGTTTTAAAATTTTTGACTTCAAAAAGCTTTTAAATTTTGATGGCTTCCAAGCCATTTTATCTTCTGTCTATCCAATTTCACTCACAAAGCTTGGATCAACCTGTGATGGGGGTTTTTCAGGCACTTTTCCACAGACTAATATCCTCAAGAGATCACTTCCTGACTAAATGACCATCATAAGATTCAAATAAAGGTCTCATGATTGAGATTCAATAGTGTAACCACCCAGCCATATTCCCTCACTGTGTGTGTGTGTGTGTGTATATATATATATATATATATATATATATATATATAAAGAACAAATAATTTTTCTTTTAATAATAATAAAAATTAATATTCACAATTCTAAAATGAAAAATTAAAATTTTTTTTTTTTTTTGCATACGTACGCAAATCCTGTTTATACTAAATGACAAATATAATTTTTAAAATTAAAAAAACTGTAATCCCAATATAATATATATCTATGCCAACATTGTGATAACCAGATATATTTTTAAAATCTAAATTACTTAATGGCCAGTCTCAGCACCTGATGATTGCATTGTATGAAACTCCGAGTGGTGCTATTGGTGAGGCATACGTATATTTATTAATATATACTTAATAGCTCTAGTGTATTACATCGAACACTGTTCTATTAATACTAGCACTATATGTGCGATATGATATAATATATATATATATATATATATATATGATATGTCCTCGAAGGGGATATATTTGTTCGAAGTAGCAAAGTGGTTGTTGACTACTGTAACCAGGTAGAACAATCTAACAGGTAATTGTAATGGACTGGTCCTCGTTGTAGTGGTGGGCAACAGGCGAAGACAATAGGTGTAGTCATGTACCTCCACATCAGTCTGTATTTATAGCTGACACCAGCCAAACATATTACTGTGAGGAGGAACCCAGGTGTATGCATATTCATTGTATCAATATATATAAACATAAATTGTGTGTATGACGTAGTAGATTGCATTTATTACCAGCATAATTGGCATGCATCAATTTGGCTCTGGTGCATTGCTGCAATGTTTACGATAAGATAGTCGCCCTGACCCACTTCCTGAAATTAGTATTCTCATGCATCTTTGGGGAAAGGGTCGAGCTGAAAATGTTCTAAGTGCAAGTGTCCGCCTGCATACATCTATGAGAGATTGCATAGCAACAGTTTAAATAAATCCATTTCCAGTTTTAGTACAAAGTCTGTTTTGTAGAATGTAAATGTTCTTCTCTCAGTCTGAACTGAACTTTTACAATGACGCAAAAGCTGAAATGGGGTTGGAGAATTTTTTTTCCTCACCTAACTTGCAACTAGGGAAAATAACAGACTGTCTTAATTTCTTTAAAAAAAAAAAAAAAAAATTTTTTTTTTTGTATAATTGTTAGATAAGTCATTTTTATTATATAGTATAATATAGTATAATATCATAATCACTAGGATTTTGAACTATCTTGGTTGACGTAGATGTTATTATAGATACACTGTTTCGACCAAGTACCCCTCTGGTCATGATCAGGTATTCACTGATTGGCTGATATGAGATATCTGTTGATCATTGTGATATTTTCACCCTGTGATATCAGTTTTTGTTCATTCCTATTGAATTGCTGCATCACTACCAGATCCAAGGATTGAACTCGTGACCACATATGACTGTAACACATGTATAATAACTCCTATATTGTCTATGCAAACATCACAAAAGATATTAGTGGAGTATTTTTGGAGCCTTTTTTATATTCAATGTCAGATGGTTTTTGACATTTGGTTATGATGGCGGGTTCATACCACTTTTCATAATTTAATCCTTCATTTCTGAGATTATAGCGTGGATATCCATGTCAGCCGATCAATAGACACCTGATGATGACTAGAGGGTACTTGGTCGAAATTTTGTGTTTATAATAACATTTTTATCAACCAAGATGAGAACAATAGTTCAAAATAATACAAGAATATTGATAATTACTCATGTCAAATATGAAATACTAAATTATCACATTATTTTTTTATTTATTCATTTTTTGTGGGGTGCAGGGTCAGGAACATTTTATACAATGTCTCACGTAATTGCAGCTGTACTTTAAAAGGGTGCTTGTTGGCACTAGATCCATAGTACCCCCCCCCAAAAAAAAAGAAAAAAACTAGCATGTTTTGATTTGCCCATGTGCTGGTCCAATTAAATGGTTTGGTGGCTCAAATAAGTGAAGAAGTATATTTGTTTTTCTTAAGTAAATGGATGCCATGAATAATTGGAGACTAGTGGATATAGACATCAGGATGTATTCTAATATATATATATATATATAATGATCTGGTTTAACCCAATGTAAAACAAATAAGTAATAACAAATGTAGGAAAAAAATATTAATTAAACTCATACACAAACACTCCTCCTCCATCAAGCACTCTCCACAAAATATTCAACAGAAAAAAAAAACAATCAAAATCAACAACATGACACAAATAATAAAAAACATAGCAGAAAATAACCAACAAATCACCTGCACAAATCAAACCCCCCTACAAATGTTCTTTAAATGGCAATTGCTTGCAAAGCAACATAATATACCAGGCCACTGTAGAATCATCAGATGACAAAGAAAAATATACATAGGAGTAACTGAAGGACCCTGGAAACAGAAACTATGTGCACCAAACATCCTACATACATGAACAGCACAATGCTTTCTAAAAATATATGAGAAATTAAAAACAACAACAACAAAAAAAAATTTCCATGATATTTTTAGTGTAATTTATTATACCAAATATATCATGGAAAATAAAGAAAACAGTGTCAGCCTACAACAGTAAATGAGAAAACAGTAAATTCTGTCTGGAGGAGAAAATAGCTATAATCACCTTCCCAGGCCAACACAAATTACTAAATAAACAATCAGAACTTATCTCAAAATGTAGACATGGAAAAAAAACAAACTTTTACTGTGTTACATAAAAAGCGAAGACTAATGAATATCTTGTAAAATACCGCCATGAAAAATGCAAATAAAGGCACTTTTATATTTACATATGCTATTTCCCTGATTTTGAGCACTTTTTACCATAAATATAATACAACATAAATCTTTTTATGATATATATGATAAAAAGATTTAAGTTGTACTATATTTATAGTATATTAGAATATATATATATATATATATATATATATATATATATATATATATATATATATATATCTCCATCTATATGTATCTACATACATGTTTGTGTGTGTTTCTTTTTCTGTGCATGCTGGTAGATGTAATACACAGTTTGAAATAAAAAAAAAAGGCATCTATTTCAAACACGTGTATCTACAAAAAGTTTGAAGTATCACACACACACACACACACACACTCTCAGTTTAGGTGTTTGTGTATGAATATGTCTCTCTTTTTATATACATCTGTTGGTTTCACTCACTCACTCAATCTCTCTTCCTCTCTCTATCTATCTATCTATCTATCTATCTATATATATATATATATATATATATATATATATATATATATATATATATTCTGTGTATTTAGACAGCAAATGTTCTTTAAGGCAATTGTTATTAAGACAACCAATATTTTGTCTTGGTTAATTTTATTGATCAACTTTTCCAAATTGTCAATAATCTTTCTCAGATAAGGAGCAAATTCTATCAGAAATTGTCCAAAGTTCATTTTGGAAGGAATATGTTACAAGCTTATTATATA